AAAAGCGGGGCCTCTGTCTGAGCTCAAAAAGTTATTCCCTAAATTTAAAAAACTCCCACTAAAACTTAAACGACCTTCTATAATGTTAGAAACTAAGCTAAAAATGTTAGTTTAAACATACAGTACTGATTAATAAATGCATCAAAAAACAATAAGCGAGTAAATTCCTATATATACAATTTGACAGGAAATTAAACTTTGCTCACACTTCCAGCTCACCTATAAGATAATATTTAAGACAGTGGGTATTCTTTCAAAAATATACCACATGCCACACTTCTCTTTACTTACCCTTTGCTTATGGTATTTGTGCATAAGGATCTACAACAAAAATCATCTTAAACCTGGTTTTACTCAACAAAACTCTTCAGTTAAAATGATCACTCAAAGTTTAAATCCGCTCAATATACATACTATGCTTACAAAACACACAACTCTTACAGCAGTCCAGTGTTCAGACTATTTCCTTCTCACTTTCCAACTCATCTAGTTAGTAACTGAATGTCAGTTTTTAAACAGTGATACACAATTTCAAACCTGAAATTTCAAACGTTAAATAACTACTACAGTTACAGTATAATAATATTAAATAAACGCCTTACAAAAAAACCTACTCACCTGAAATCTCGAGGGGTTGTCATAGAAACAAGTGTCTTGATACGAGTGAGAGGAACAGGGCCATTGTAGGTGGACTGTCCAGAAGATACATCCACATCATCCAAATTTAAGCAATTTAAAGGACTGCCTAATCTCAGGAAGATTCTGGTTATATGTGGAGGAAAAATATGAAAATGTTAGTTAAAATTAAAAGAGAAAAATGTCTACCTGTTTACATTCTATATGCCCTTTTTCTCCATGGGATTAAGCTACTTCATGCTGTTTGGAAACAGAGCCTTAAATATCCAACTAAACATATCGACAAATGATTCCCTCATTACAAAAGTTACGGTACCAGAGTCAGAAATAAAGGAAGCCAGGTTACTAGGATCCCATGATAGAAAAAGTGTTATGCTTAGATTCCACTCACATGACAGGAAAAAAGACTTAATAATTGCATCTATTAAAGTAAAGAGAGAGGTATATATAAACGAGTGTCTTATCAAAAAACGTTAGAACCTCCTCTATAGAGTCAGAAAACTTAAGCAGGAGAATAATGACGCAATACACCAATGCTTCACACGGGATGGGAAAATTCTAGTTAGGAAAAGAAATGTAGGTCAACTGTACACAATCACGAACAAGAATGATCTATCACGATTTCTCAGGGATACTAATCTTACAGAGAATAACTAAACAATGTCCAACCTAAAAGCCTACATAGTGTAGTGTATGTTTTGCTCCATTATTCTTCAAATTTCATTGTACAATCTCTTAGTAATTAATAATCAACTTCCTCATTATGTGTTTTTTACTAGTAAGCATAAGTCACCTTATGTAATTTTCTTATTTACTATTGTTTGTTTAAAATTTATTAGCTGAATTGATACTTTCTCTGTCCATTTTACAACCTCATATTTTTTAAAATTACTATTAATTCATTTTAAACTTACTAAAATTAATAATTAAATACCGTTTTTTCTATCAGTACAATTTACTCTTAACATTTTTGACATCATTTAATTACCATTACTTGTCTAATAACCAAAAACCTGTTTTAATACCACATTTACTATCTTAGAGTACTCTTAAATACCTTGAAACTGCCAAATACCTCTAGTATAACTACCACTGCAATATTGAATCAAAATAACTTTTTTTAAAAATTTTTATACTTAAATAAACATTACTTTTTCATTTTATTTTTATTAATTAATCTTTTTTGTAATCATTATTACTTACAAAAAATTTTTTTAAACACCATATTTACTACCAGTCCAATTTTACTTTTGTACATTTAATCATTATTTTATACTTTTCTTAACCTTTTGTTGCCAAACTTTCAAGTTTGTATATTCAACTCCAACCTCAATATTATCCTTTGTACCTGTGTACCTGTCTACCATCTTACTATCATATTATAACCAAGTCATTGCCATTTTTTTTTATTTATTATTCTTTTGGTACTTTAATTTGTCAATTTTATTTTGTCAATTTAAATCTAGTTATACTCTTGTTCTTGTTAACAACCTATATCAGACCCTAGTGCAATTGCAAGTACCATTTTAATTTGTATTTTTATATTATAAGTTTATACCTAGTTGTACTTTAGCTCATTCTAGCTCAATACATAGACAACACCAAATTCATTATATTAGACCTTAGTGCAATTACAAGAGTGAGCCCGGTGCCATTTGTAATTTGTTTTTTTTATAGTATTACTTTATACCTAGTTGTACTTTAGCTCATTCTAGGACAACACAGACAATATCAACTTTATTATGTTTATTAGTGACTATACTCTACATGACCAAAGTGCTTTAGCTATATACTTGTCCAAACCTCCCACCACTACAGAAATCAGTATTAGAACTCGCCACATAATACAGGATGTAAATAACCACTATTTAAACCTTAAAGATTCAAATTCAAATGTTCAAATTCAAAGTTTATTCTCTATAAGTATTACAATGCTGAGTTTACAGAATTTGGTTATTGTGTGGTTTACATGTAGTAAAATACTAATTACAGAGGGTGCCACTAGAACACCTAGCATGGCTAGGCATTTCGGGCAGCTTAGAATAGTTCTTAACTTTAAAATATTACAAATTATGAGGTAAGTTGGTATTATGGCTAAGTGACTAAATACTAGTTTGTGAGTTTAGCAATGTGAATGCTTTTGTTTTGGCCCCAATACATAGTTTCAGTATTGGAGTATCACAGGCCAACTTATGACTAGTTAGGATTCATTTTTTTTAAGATTGAGATTGATATTTTGTTTATGGTCAAATGGGTGAGGGTGTAAGTGTGAACCACCAGGTGGTATTCTTTTGTAATTAGTTGACGGGGTGTATCAGGGAGATAAGATTTTTTTCTAATGGTAGTTTTGAAGGTGATTTAATGTGTCTGCAGTTCCAGAGTTTACAGTTTGGGTGTTCCAGATTTTAGGGCCTTTGACATACATTGAATTTTGTAAAGGTTTAGTCGGAACGAGGAATGTCATAGAGATGTTTGTGTCTGTGTTGTCCCTGTGGGTTCTGTCACAACTATCAAGAAAGCATTTTAGGTCAAGCTTAATATTGGAATTTAAGGTCCTGTAGATGTAGATTGCACAGTAGAAAGTGTGGATGTACTGAACAGGGAGTAAGTTTAGATCTATGAAGAGTGGGGGGGGTGTGTTGCCAGGGATGGGATTTAATGATTATTCTTACTGCGGCTTTTTGTTGGGTTATTATTGGCTTTAGGTGCGTTGCTGCAGTTGATCCCCAAGCACAAATAGCATAGGTGAGGTATGGATAAATAAGAGAGTGGTATAGTGTGAGAAGGGCATTTTGCGGCAACCCAAATGTATTTTGGAGAGGATCCCCACCGTTTTGGATACTTTTTTGGTTATGTGTTCGATATGGGTGCTGAAATTCAGGCTGTTGTCGAGGTATAGGTCTAGGAATTTGTCTGGCAATTGGAGTTTTGTCGATCTTAATGTTAATTTGTGCAACTCCTGCTCTGCTACCAAACATAATATAGTAGGTTTTGTCAGTGTTAAGCCTAAGTTTATTGGCTGTCATCCAAGTTGATATTTTGATCAGCTCCTCGTTAACAATGGTGTTGAGGGTGGCAAGATTAGGGTGAGAGATGACATAAGTTGTGTCGTCAGCAAGAGAATGGGGTTCAGGTGTTGGGATACGTTTGGAAGATCGTTGATGTATATGATGAATGATCACGTTGACCCTGATCTAAACCTCCATAATCTAACACACAATCAAAACTTATTGGAAAGTAACTGCCTTTATTACACAGCATCACAAGCCAGCACTATCCTGAACACTGCTCAAAGTCTATCAGTTCTTAACTACAACATCAGGTCCTTAAGCAAGCACTATGATGACCTCCTGGCACTCCTTGAGTCACTGAAGACACCCTTCTCCTGCATTATTCTTACTGAGACCTGGCTTAAGCAGGACACAATAGATATCTACCACTACCAAGGATACACAGCAATCCACAACTGCAGACCATACCAAGTTGGGGGTGGTACTGCAATCTATTACTCTAACCAACTATCTTGTATTAGCACCCCAAATTTCTTTAGTGATGAATATGGGGAATACATTTTTGCTAATTTTACTGTAAAAAACCTCAAGACACCTATAAAAAATCGGGGCCATTTACCGGATACCCACACAAACATCCCAAACTTCAGTGAGAATCTCCAAAGGGCCCAAAAAACAAACAGACAAATGAACAAGCACCACCCTTTTCTTAGCTGGAGACTTCAACATCAACCTTGTCCTACCAGATGATCAGACTGCAACTGATTTTATCAACAATGTGAACAACACACTTCTCATCCATCAATAACTAACCAACCAGGCTGACTGGACAAGTGCAACCATAATAGACCACATATGGGGCCAATATATAGCCCCCCTTAAATCAGGGGTAATCACAGACAGCAAATACTGACCACTACCCAGCCTTCCTCTTAACAAACATTAGTAAACCACCACCAAATACAACAATTTTCATTTAGACTCCAAGACAAAGGCCTCAATAAGGAATTTTACAGCGACCTAGAGACTGTTGACTGGCCTACAAAATTCTCCCAAAGCCAATGGTATTGACGATTGGACAGACATTTTTCTTAAAAAATACTTAGACTATACAACAAACATTATCACATAAAAACTAAAAAAGACTACGAATAAAACGGCTCGGTTGCCCATGGCTAACCAGCACCATTCGAAATCCATTGATAAGAAACACCAATATGAAAAACAATATTAGACAGGGCTTAATACACAAAGATATTCTTAAACACTATTCATCAGTTCCCCACCACAGTAATAAAGAAAGCCAAAAAAACTGTACTACTCCAGCAGATTCACTGACAAAAAGAGGAGATATAAAAAAAGACCTGGAAAACAATTTCCAGATTCTGGGGAAACCCCCAAACTGAAAAAAAAAAAAAGAATATTGTTCTAACTAAACCTCATTTAAAACCACTGCATCCCACTGATACAGCTAACAAGATAAACGCCTTCTTCTCAAACATAGGATCTAATCTCGCCAGTAAAATCCCACATACCAATGCCCGTGCCGGGGACTACCTAGATGGAATTTCCCAAATTCCTTCTTCTTGTACAAAAATGAGCCCACAGAAGGGCACTGCAACCATAAAGTCACTTAAAAATAACTCGGGGAATCTGTCTCGTGTCCCACCATTATTGTACAAGCGAGCAGCCCATGTCCTTTCGCATGCTATTACATTACTTTTTAACAAGTCACTAGAAACTAGCACTTTCCTGAAACTACTCAAGACAGCAAGGGTTACACCAATACATAAAGGTGGTGACCCTACAGATGTAAACAACTATAGGCCAATATCAAACTTACCATTGCTATCCAAAATATTCGAGAAACTCGTGCACAGGAGACTGTATTAATTTATAACGGCACAAAACATACTCAACCCTTGCCAATTTGGATTCAGGAAAAATAAGAGCACTAATGATGCAATTATAAAAATGCTAGACCTGCTTTACACAGCATTGCAACATAAGGAATATCCACTAGGAATTTTTACTGACCTAAGAAAAGCGTTTGACACAGTTGACCACAGCATCCTACTCCACAAACTTGACCACTATGGTATGAGAGGCCATGCG